AAAAAAAAAAAAAAAAAAGAATGGAATCCAGGGACAAGAATTAAAGAAGTAAAGTTGCTCTCAGATCCTATCCTGAGAATGGGATTTCATCCACCCTTTCATGGTAAGAAGAGAAAAAGGGCACACAGAAAGAAGCAGGTCACATCTCGGTCTAAAACCAGGTCTGATCCTAGTGTCATCTCCCACCAAAGAGAAATTGGAGTCAAAGTACGCACCCTCTTTGTGCCTCTACTCGTTTGTCTCCAAGAACATGATGGCCCTGGTCTCTTCAGATGACCCCTCAGATGGGAGTGGGGTTCGCCTCATAGCAGGGCGCCCGCTGCTTGGCTGTGGGTCTGGATAACCCAATGCCTGCCCACTGTAATGACCTGGAAGCTGTAAAAAGTCCCATTGCCTACATCCACCCCAGGGAGAGGCCCATGAATTGGCCTGGGAGCTGGCCTTGGGCATTCGGGATTTTCCAAGCTCCCAGGTGATCCGGATGTCCGGTCAAGGGTGACAACCGCTGGGTTACCCTAAGAGTGGCCACATGGCCGGGGCAGCTCCTTCTCCACAACGTCAGGTCAAGCACCCTCTGATTCTCAACCTTGGCTGCCATTAGAAGCTGCCATAAGAAGCCTAGGAAGCTTTGAAAAAAACTCTTCCTGTCCCATGTGCACCCCACTCAGTTAAATCAGCTGGGACCCATGCATCAGCCCCTTGGGTCAAGGTTGCAAATCAGTGGAGCAGGGGATACCTCCCTCCACCTGAGACTGTAGGCAGAGGCAATGAGTGAACAGAGGCCAAGGCCTTCTCAAGCCCTAAAATCTATGATTCTGTGGGAAGTTGGCACTTTCCTGGCAAAGAAAACAAATTTTGCTAAACTGCTGGGCTAGGAACTATTGCTCAGCAATTTATAGGCTCCTTCCCCCGAAATGCTCTGGGAAAGCAGAGTTGGTCACTCTGCCCGTCAAGGCTTCCTTCAGTGCAGGGATTTGGTCAGCCTGCCAGGCTCTGCTGGGGTAGAGAAACACGAAACCATATATATCCCAGCCCGGGAGGAACCTGTGGTATAGATAATAAATGAGTTACAGAGTAAACAGTATTATAGCAATACAACATCCAGCCAGCTTTTTCCAGGAAGTAGGAGATGCCCACCAGTGGGCTTTTCAGGAAATGTCCTTTACACTGAAGATGTCTCACTTGTATCACTTCCGATTGAAAACCTTCTACAATGCTTAGGCAGCGCCCTGCCTTCTTTAACCAGAGTACACTGGACATCACTAGACTCTTTCTTGGTGGTTCCAAGGGCACCATTATCAAGAAGAACTGTCGTGTATGGTTGTACAACTTGTGGTTCGCACAACTTCAGGGGGCGCTACTTACCTCCAAGTCTCTTGGATTTTTACAGTTCGTTGCCCAGGCTTCTGGCAGATCACATTCAAGTGTCTTGAAGAAGATGCATCTTTTTTTATCAGCCGGCAGCAGGGGGACCAATCCCTTCTGCACAGTGCCCTGGTACAAGGTGGGGCTGGGCTGAACGGGGCCAACACGGTCCTGGAGAACGGCAATTTGTCCTGGTTACTCCCATACTCTAATAGTTGGTCTCCTCCTTCACCTTCCTCTGTCAGTTCCCAATTCTGCTACGCCCTCTACCTCTAGCAGCTCATCCATCTTCCTCCAGCTACAACTTCTAAATGCAGTCCCCAAGGAATAACACTGACAAGTCATTGACTTCATACCAAATGCATCTCTAAGTCAGCCAGCCCTTGGGGGAAGCGCTGACCTTGGCTCACCACACCCCTGGGGCCAAGCGTCAGGGTCTCGTGGCAGCTCCTTTCCCGCACTTTGTCACCGGTATTCAGATTCTTGGCGGCTGTTTATCTCATATGGCCGGGGACTAGCCAGAAGTCTGATCCTCTCATTAAAAGGGTTGTCAATAGATATAAACCAGCCCTTCCTATTGATAAAGGGAGCAGTATTATTAGAGAACTCATCTGTTGAATTGGGGCAGGGGGAGGGCTGTCAGTTTGCTCATTTCTGTTTTATTTTGTTTTATGTAAATTCTCTAGGATATACATACCCCTAGACATACATATTTTTCAAAACTTTCTGGGATGATTCTGATGAGCAGCCAGGTTTGAAGTCGCTGGTCTGAAATAGTAATGTCTGACATGCCTGGGAGCTCTCGGGGACAAACCAGAGTCATCTGTCACCTCTCGCCGCTTCACGTCTACCGCCACCTGGAGTCAGTCACTCTCTGGACTGGCTGGCCGGCCTCCAGGCCATGTGCACAGCGCAGCCCCTCCAGCTAACTCTGGTTTCTTGCAGCCGTGCTGTTTCCTGCTGCCCATCGGCCAAAGAGATCCTCATCAATGCCCTTGAACCCCGTCCTGCAGAACTCCCTGGAGGAAGTCGAACTGCTCTATGAGGTAGGCAGAAGGGAAAGTGGTCAATTCAAGGCCTTCTCTATGTTTTTTGGAGAAGGGACCTAAGCGCCAGAGGGACTGGTCTAGACTACTTGGCGGATTCATCCCGTCCCGCCCACCCCAGAGCCGGGGCTTCCTCGTATCTCCTCCCCTCTCCCACACGCCATGACACGGAAGGATGGCATCGGGAGTTCAGTCGAGGCAAAATCAGAGATTTCCGTTTGGCCCCAAGGTGCCACGGCCAGCACCCGAGCATCAGAGTCGGGCAACATTCCCAAGCAGAGGTTTTTTTGTTGTTGTTGATTTTGTTTTTTTTAAAGATTTTATTTATTTATTTGACAGAGAGAGAGTTAGCGAGAGCAAGAACACAAGCAGGGGGAGTGGGAGAGGGAGAAGCAGGCTTCCCGCCGAGCAGGGAGCCCGATGATGCGGGGCTCGATCCCAGGACCCCGGGATCATGACCTGAGCCGAAGGCAGACGCTTAACGACTGAGCCACCCAGGCGCCCCCCCAAGCAGAGGTTTTGAGGCAGGACTGGTCAGGAGTGCTCGGGCAATGCCACGCCAGGTGTCTGAGCTGAGCCGTGTCTCAGGAACTGCATGCTGGGACAGCTCCGTTTCTGACGGGCTGGGGCCACCCCGAAGCTCTCTTCCTCTGCCCCTCTCACCTGGGCCCCTAAGACCCCACTCATCCTCAAACCACAGGTAGATTCCCCAAGGCTGCTTGGACTGGTTCAGTGATAGAATTCCCAGTTCAAGATCTGAGCTGTCGTTCTGCTTCTGCCCCCACCAGCTGGGTGACCTCGGGTCAGCTGCCATTGCTCTCTGGGCCTGAATCTCCTCCACTGTTAAATGAGGAACTACGATGATCTCCAAAATTCCCCTCCTGCCTTGATATCCTCTCACATCCTCCACGTCCCAGAACTGTCTGGCTAAGAGACAGCCTTGTGCAGCCAAGCAGTTGAGCTGGGGGAAGGGGAAGGGATTTCAAATCCCGCCATGGGGGCAAACTTTGCCAAGTCTTGAACTTGGGAGTCACATGAACAGATCTGTTCTAGAAAGACAGCAGACAGTAGCATGGAGGATGGATTAGAGCCAGGAGGGAGTCAGAGACAGAGAGGAAAGTTAGAATTCGGAGTCCAAGAAGTATTTATTATGTTGCTGGGATGAGCCTGGCACAGAGCAGGGGATGCACATGGCAGACTCCACGCTACTCTTAAAGAACAGGTGAGAAATGAGGACAAATCTCTGTATCCCACTTAATTCCTGGCACAATTCTCTGCATCCTTCGAATTCAGCTTCTGATCTTAAATTACCCAAAATAGTCAGTTCGTGCTCTAGAAGATCTTCGGTGGGTGGGTGGGTGGGAGGGAGATCAGGAACTAGTGTGCTGGTCCAGGCCACTAGTAACAGTAAGCAGTCCCTGAAATAGTGGCTTTGTACCAGGCACCGTATTTGTCTTACTTCTCACAATATCCCAGTGAAGTATTGTTGTCACTAATCATCTCACAGAGGAGGAAAATGAGGCTCAGAGAAGTTAAGTAACTCACCCAGGGTTACACAGCTAGTGGGAAAGTCAGAATTGGAGACGCAGCTGCCTCCCTAGATGAACATATGTGATAATGAACACAGTAATGTCCTCAGTGATGCCCAAATGCTTCATGTCTTTCCACGTCCCGTGTCTCTCTCCAGTTCCTGCTAGCTGAACTTGACATCAGCCCTGACCTGCAGATCTCCATCAAGGACGAGGAGCTCGCCTCTTTGAGGAAGGCCTCTGACTTCCACATCATCTGCAATCACGTGATCCCCAAGAGCATCCCGGACATCCGCCGGCTGAGCATCAGCCTCTCCAGCCACCCTGGCGTCCTCAAGAAAGAGGACTTTGAAAGGACAGCGCTGACCCTGGCCTACACGGCCTACCGCACAGCCCTGTCCCAAGGGCATCAGAAGGACATCTGGGCCCAGTCCCTCCGTAGCCTCTTCCAGGCCCTGCGGCATGACTTGATGCGGTCCTCAGGCCCCAGAGCATCTCCCTGAGAGACTGGCCCGCACCAGGACCACAGAGCAGGGACCGACACACACAGTAATCCAAATACTCTTCATTCTCTACTCCATTTACAGAGCCCAGCAACAAAGCACATGCCACCAACTCAGAGTAGCAGAGGTAACATAAGGACGCCGTCATGTTCTTTGCCCCTTATAGATTCCTGACAAGCACATTTGATTCATGTCACAGTGTGACCTGGGCTGGAAGAAAGGGCTAGAGTGATAATTTCGAGATGCCTCCAAAGGCCCAATGATTTGCCTGGCGACATGTAGAAGTCTCAACCATGCTCCAACACCAAGTGACTGCCCCCAACACCCAAGGGCGAGCACAGAGCTAGAGCAGACAACACAGAGGTTTGGGCGTGGTGGGAAGACGGGGGACAGACCTCAGGCTGTGAGGTTGATTGAACATCTTTCCAAAGGTTCTATAAGTAAGAGACTAAAAAAAAAAAAAAAAAAAAAAACCCAACCTAGAGCTATAGCCAAATAAATACATGGTTATCAAAGATATACTTCTCACCTTTTCCAAAAGTCACCAAGAAGGATCAGTCAGAAAATCAGTAATTTTATGACCTATAGGTCTTGATTCTTCTTCTCTGAAAGCTGATCTAATACAGAGGAGAAACATGAAGGGGGCCCACAGAAAGGCTGCAACAGTCATGCCTTGTCTTCCAAACAGAGAAAGCAAGCTAATGCAGAGAGGGTCACCCTCATCACCCTAATGAAGACGTGGCACCAATGGCCATGTCTAGCTAAATGCTTAAAATCATTTAGCATCATCAGAAAATGAGGTGCTCCAAATAAAAATGATTTTTCGGATGACAGGATTTCCCCTTTCAAATGCCAAAACTTTCCTTTGAGCAATATTGACCTGGTATCTTTTTAAAGCCTACATATGAAACACCTTAGGCTCTTATTTAATATCTTTGAAACACCCTGATGAAGGAGTTGGATAAAATAACCTTTAACATTGCTTTAACTGCTTCTGAAATGCCCGTGGTCATTGAGCTAAGTGCGAGCTATTACAGAGAGGACAGCAGGACCTAAGGGAACTGCTGGACTGTTTGCCCTGATCCTGGAAGGCCCCAGGCTCTTCTAATTCTGCATGTGCTCTGAGCTCTTCTGCCGCCTTCTTCACTGTGAGGCTTTGAGATGCACTTTTCTTTCTTGCCGACAGAACCCGCCCTTTGCATTGTGTTCTTTTGTAGCTGCTATCGCCTGAAGAACAAGATGGCTAGGCTTGTTATAATTCTTGGTTAAGTATGAGTTAGCAGATGAAGATCTCTGCTAGCAGGAAAGCCCTGGGCTCTAGGACAGACTTCCCACCAGCTCAGAGATCTTTCTGGCTCTCCTGGGTTGACAGCCGGGTTTTGGAGGCTACCGTTGCAAGAGGTCTAATCGTTGAATGAGTGAGACCTTATCGGGCTAAATTCAATACTGAAATCGGTATTTAACAGTTGTCATTTGATGCTGCCTGAAGCTGCTCTGGACTTCTTAAAAACTTTGAATAAGTGATTTCCGAGCCACACAAGCTGCATGATCACCTTGGAGAAATAGTAGGATGGAGGAAGAAGGTATTCATCATCAGAGAAGCATACAGCTTGGCATCCTCATGCAGTTGGGTTCAGAAGATTAGTAACTGTCAGTCTCTCTGGTTCTCATTCCCTGGTTATACTTCTCTCTTACCTCCCTCAAATGCAGTCTCTGATATTTGCTTTTTGTTCAGTTTTTCTCTTTCTAATATTACGTATTCTCTTTGACATGGTTACTAAGCTGGTCTCTTTATTTCAGTTGGTGTCTCTTCTGCTCTAGCTTTGGGCCCAGTTCTGATTATCTTTGTGTCCACTTCTTAGAGGCGTCTCCCAGTCTCTTTGGGCTGACTTTTGCTCACTTGAACTCTGCCTGCCTGCATTCTGATACTCACTGTCTTTCCGCCCCCTTCGGGTATCACTGTCTGACTCAAACAAAGGTCAATGTACAGGGTCCGGGACTTCCCAAAAGGCAGATTAGCCTCATGGTCTGCCTCCGCTATTTGTACTTTCCCTGGATGTGGGGTGGGGAGGAGGTGAGCAGAGGTCTCAACCCTTCGACATTGGGCAATAGCCCAGCCTCAGAGTCTTGCATCCCACCCCAGGGCTCCACCCCCCCTTAGGTTGGATCTGAGTGCTTTCTTCCAGTCACTGGGTGGAAAGACCACCCTGTAGGCCCTCCCTGTCTTCCATGTTATGATATACATGCCTGCTCCCAGGAGTAGGAGATCCATGAATGGGAGGATGGTTCCCAGGACCAGTGATAAAATGGTAGTTCATTCACCCTGCAGCAAAAAATTAAAGGCACCTGTGTAGTCATAAATCAGGGCCCATATTTTTGTGGCAGTCAATGACTAAAAAAAATAGAAACAAGAAGGGCATGACCTTTTTAAAGACAAATGACAATTCCCTTTTTACTAACTAGATGACACTAGTAATGACTATTTTAGGCTGAATACAAATTGACTATTTACCCACAAGAACAGTTTATAATAGTAACTTCATTTACATGCAAAGTCAAATATAACACTCACCACCACTACCCCAAGATCCGACCCTTTGCTCAATGAACAGTAAAGTAGTAGACTGGACAGAAACGGACTGTCCCATTTTGCCTCATTAATACCACACTGTAATACCACGATCACAACCAGGTTACATTTTGTCATATGTACACATAGAATAATCTAGGGCATGGTGTCTGTCGTGGAAATTTGCCTGTAACTTATGGAATTTGCCTGTAACTAATTCTGCCATTTCTATACTGCTGGGGACTTTTAGGATCTAAAAATTCTGGAAGCGTCTTCTAGAGTTGGCACCCTCATGGCTACTTCTGGTGTCACTCAAGAGACATTGAAAAACATCTATGTGCTGAAACTTCCATTGCTCTGTCATCTCACCTTGAATCTAAAAAAGAATCGCCTCAGTGATAAATCAGTCAGAGGTATTTCCACAGGTGAACGCTTGTCACATGTCTTTACATGGCGCCCCTTAGTTGCCTAACCCATTTTAACATCTTACATTTTTTTTATTGTAAAAAACACAACGTGAAATTTACCATCTGAATGTCTAAGTGCGCAGTACAATAGTGTTAGCTCTATGCATATTGTGGTATGACAGATCTCTAGAACTTTTCATCTTGCAAAATTGATACCTCTGGAACAACTCCCCTCCCCCACCCCCACAGCGCCTGGCACCTGCCTTTCTACTTTCTGTTACTAAGAGTTTGACTACTTTAGATACCTCATCTAAGTGGAACCTGCCTTCTATTTCTCAAGCATAGTATTCTGGAAAATGTTTCCTTCATCTGAAAAAACGGATAGAGTCACAAAGAAGAACTACTGTCTTAATTGTGTCGCTCACCTTACCTAACTTTATTTAACAATTATTCACTTATGGTGTAATAAAAATGTCCTGATCGAGTTTACTAGGCTCCATGGAATCTTTGTTATGTCAGATTATGTCACCAAGGAATTTGAAGTGGTCTAGGGGTTGAATGGTGGATATTGAGTTCCGCAGCTGTTTATTATTTTCCAGCCTCTTTAATATTTGCCACCCAAACATCACACCTGTGGTCTTGTTCATTCTGAGTTTCAAAATCAGCACAGGAAGGAGGCCCGAATGTAGCAAACATGGCAGCCAGTCTTTCACATGCATTTAAAGAGATGGGTCATAGGGCGCCTGGGTGGCTCAGTTGGTTAAGCGACTGCCTTCGGCTCAGGTCATGATCCTGGAGTCCCTAGATCGAATCCCGCATCGGGCTCCCTGCTCGCCAGGGAGTCTGCTTCTCCCTCTGACCCTCCCCCCTCTCATGTGCTCTCTCTCTCTCATTCTCTCTCTCTCAAATAAATAAATAAAATCTTTT